ATCTCAAAATATTTCAGTTATATTTAGTATTATATATATTATAATATGTTACTTTTTATTTTCGGATAATGTATAATTATATTTTAAATAGATAAAAAACAAAATATTTTAGATGCATGAAAAATATATTGTAAACAGACACATATCACATACATTATGAAAATATACTTAGTATATATTAGTATTTGATAATGTTTTTTATTATAAAATAAGTATAATTATTTAATGATAATAATAATTTCTATACAGAATTTAGAAACATTTGAATTACGAAATGAACAATTAGATTTAAAAGGGCAGACATTGGATGTTAATCATGCAGAACCATTGGAGGAAATTTTCAAAAGAGTTCAATTTAATAAAATTAATTTAGAAGCTACATCTTTGAATGATGAGGTATTTTCTTTACTTTAAGATTTTATAAAAAAAAATATTTTTTCTTTAATGTTGTTTAACATCATTCATTATTTTTATATTGTAGAGTTCTGTGATATTATTTGATATGTTAGAATATTATGAATCTGCAAAACACTTGAATATTTCATCTAATCAAGGCATTGGAATTCATGGTTGGGAAGCATGTGCGAATATGATAAGAAAGGTATACATAATATGTATTCTTTCATTATACAAAATATTTGTATAGTTATTAATATATAGTATAGTAATAGTTTTAAATATGTTCTTTTTTATTGTTTCGTTAATTATTGTATATAGGATGATTGCAAAAAAAATTAGAAATGACATAAAATATGTGTGTTAAAATTTAGCTTTATATTTTTCAATACATAATTAATGCAATCATTATTTGTCTAGACCCAATGTTTAGAACATCTTGAAGCTAAGGATGTAATTCTTGATGAACAATACATGAATATCTTAAATCGTGCATTACGATTAGTCTGCCATCTACATGTGCTTAAATTAGAAAATTGTGGACTTTCAGGAAGATCTATCGTCACACTAGGTATTTATAGTGCAATACAGTTTGTTAACTGTATCTTTTTCCATTTATTTATTTTAAAATAATTGAAATTTAATTTATTGTCATGTTTTAGTTCTCATAAAAATTATTAGTTAAGGTCCACAAATCATTAAGTACATAACATAAATATTTACGTATAACAAGAGCTAGAATAATTTCAACATTTTTATGGTAGTTGGAAACATATTATGATTACTTTCATTTTTATTTCTACATTTTATTTTGCAATTAATTAATATTTGTGCTGTATTATAATCTGCGTATTTTTTTCCCCCCTTGTTTCTTTTCTTTCTTTTAAATCATGTAAGATAGATTGTAGAAGTGATTTAGTTAATGTGTATTTGGTAAATGTATATACTAAAATTAATATAGAATCTATTTAATACAAAAGTTTTAATATTTAATTATATTTAAGCAGAAATAAGAAATATGAAATAAGATTGTCTCCTGAATCTTACATTCCTTTTCTCAATTTTGTAGTATATTTATTTATTAATATTTATTTTACTTCTATCTGTTTTGTTCTGGTATAACATTGTCTAAAGTAAATAAATAATTATATTTAAGAACATTAAAACTGTTGAAATTATTCAAATGGTTTAGTTTAAAATCTTATTGTAGACAATTTGTGAAATTCCATTGAAAATATCATGAGATATTTAAGTATTTTATGTAAAAACAATTTCATTTTCTTTCCCTGCATTACTTTATATATAGCTATTAGGTATATTGCTTCTATTTATTATAATAAATTATAGAAACAATTAATTATATTAATTCCATTTTATATTTTTATAGTATTTGACATAGTGATATATTTAACATAGTATTTGGCTTAATCATTTATGTTGTACATTGAAAATGCATGTCACCATCTAACTATTTCATGAAATTAATTACTTTTGTAAATGAAAATAGTAGTAATAATTATTTTATTACTATGTAATGAACCATTGAAATGTTATATTGAAACTTATTGTTAAATTTAAAAACTTAAAGTGTCTTAATAAAATGTATGAACAAAAAAGGTTAATAGTTTGACTTAGTTCTAGAATATTATTTTATATATTTAATAATTAAATTATTGGTAAGTATACTCATATTTTTTTGTTTTAGATATTGAGCATTAAGTATTAAATTTTTAGTATTTTAATAGCTGTATAATTAATACAATATTTTAATTCTAATGTAAGAAATAATTTGAAGTAATATAAAATTTAATCTTTTGTAAACTATAATGAATACTGTCTAATTAAGAAATTATATGTATAAAAATTGGACTTTAATAATAAGTGTTCAATTAGTATTTATACAAAATATAATCCAAATAAAATATAATTTATGATAATAGTAAATATATTTTTAATATAATTAGCAATACAGTTGTACATATATAACAAAATAAATGAACTAAAAAAACACATTTATCAAGAAATAATTTTAAATGATGTAACAATTCAATGTATTTGATTACTGCCTTTTAATTAACTTGTATATATTATATATTAAACATTTAATTATAATAATATCTTCTTTAATGGAATTTTATACATTTCCAATGTATTTTTAATTTTGAAGATAACTTTATAAAATAACTTTATAAAATATTATATCTTTATGTTGTGTTAATGATACTATATATATAATATTTCTATATTATTCAACATTATTTATTTAACTATAATAGTCTATTTTGGGTATTTTGTTTTACTTTATATAATATTTTAATTTCATTAAGTACTTAATGAACGATTGAGAGATGTTGAGAAAGAAAAATGTTTTTATATTGTTATTGTCAAATAGCATTAATATGAAAAATCATGGATATTATATACATTTTTAAAGTTTCATTCTATAATTTTAATCATAAAATAAGCTAAGACCATAATATATACTTAAAAATATATTTTATCTACTTAAAAAGGATCTAGAACAGAAGCTTTTAATAATATAAGAATAACATACTCTTTTTAATAGTTGCAGCATTAAAAATGAATACTGGAATAAGAGAACTTTACTTAGCTGATAATGGGCTGGATCTATATGATGCGATACAGCTTGGTTCTCTTCTTAGATTAAATAATCATATACAATTACTTGATATTAGGTATGTAGCAATAGAAACAGAGAGAGAATAATCTAATTTTTCTATTGTGTTAATTAATATTTTCATTAGTTGTGCAGAAATTCTATATATTTTTAATAAATCTAGTTAGAAATTAATTCACATATTTTAAACAGTTACTGTGTTGTTAAAGCTCATAACAATTCTACTTCATTTTTTCTTTAAAAGATATCTTTCTCTTTTTAGTCACAGTTAGTTCTATTAGACCCTTTAAGCTCATATTCATTGTATGTGTCTATGGTTATATACATCATGTATACTGTAGATATAGTTGAATTATATAGATCTAAACACAATAGTAGAGTTTATAAAAGAAAAATATATAGAATGTCATACTTTTACTATAAAATTGTTTATAGTAAATAATACAATTTTTTAAATAAAAAATTTTTGTATTATAAAAATACAACATTTTTTTCAGTAATAATGTCATTCAAGATGATGGTGTACGTGATATCCTAGAAGGTCTCATCAGTCAAATAAACGAGGACAAAGATGGTAAAGGTTTAAACATATTAGTATTATGGAATAACCAACTGACAAAAAAATCATCTCCCTATTTCGCACGTATTATAGTATGTAATTTTATTTATCATTATAATTATGCATGTGTAAAGTTTCTATACATTTACTATTAGTACTTTGTATATAATATCTATATACAACATGTATCTATATTAATATTGTTTATATACATAGGCATTATCTAAAACATTAGAAATGTTGAACATTGGAAAGAATATGTTCACTGATGAATTGTTATTTGTTGTAAAAGATGCATTGAAAAAAAATCGTATTTTGTTACAATTGGGAATACAATCAACTGAACTTACATGTGATGGAATTGTTACATTATCTGAAATTATTGAAATAAATCAGGTTTTACAAGTAAATATTAAAAGTCTTAAAATTTTAGGAAAAGATGTAAATTATATTATTTAAATCCATATCTATTTTTTGTTTGTTTTAGAGGATAGATTTACGAAATAATAGCATAGGAATGACTGGAATGACAGCTCTCAGTTCTGCTATGAAAAAAAATAGAAATATTACTAAAATAGATTTGGATGATAAACCTGACATAATAGTAAGTAAACAAGTCTTACTGTATTATTTCATCAGTGAAACATTGTAAAACATTACATTATTATTGTTCTTTTTGTTTTATGTTAATAATAGGATGATCTAAGCCAGAACTTGCGTCAATACACGCAGCTTGTAGCTGAAATTCGAAGCTGTTGTTTGAAAAACAAGCAAAATCGAACATTAGAAGAAAATAGCGAAGGTTTTGAAAATTCATATCATAGCAGATTTTGTAGTACAACCTCCCGTAAAATTTCGCTCACTTGTCAAACATTACCATGTTCTTTATCATCCATGATTTCAATACAAAAAGATGAATCTGGACGATCAATGCTTGAACCGAAACGTATTAATGGAGGTCGTCTTCGTTCCCCAGCCCCTAGTCCTGCTTCCTCACCTATAGCCAGTCCAATACTAAGTCCCTCACGAAGTCGGTTTGTGGTGTCCCGAGTTCCAGAAACGTTACGTTCTACAGATTCCTCAGTATCTTCGTCATCAGTTGTTCTTTCATCCCTTGGATCATCACCTACCTGTGTCACTTCTGCAAGTGGGTCATCTAGATTTCGTGTTTCAGTTGTTGAATCAGCAAATATCGTATCGTTACCTAAACCTGTTATTACTACTACGGAGGCTGATGTCACAATTGATTTAAGTTCGAAAGTTAATATTACAGATTCGACTGATTCAGATGACTCTGATAACGTATTTGTATCTGAATCAGAAATGAATAATGATCAAACTATCGAAAATTTGCAAAGTACTTCGAACAACTTATCTCATCTAGTTTTAAATATGGTAGAAGAAACTTATACACCAACAATATCTGGATGTTCTAATATAGAAGAATTAAATACAAATAAATTTTTCATTAAAGCAAATGTTAGCACTCAGTCCAATGATAATGTAAGTTCTATTACTTTAGAACGCAAAGGAAATAGTGATGTACGAGACAATCAAATTATTTCAACCCGATCGGA